AGGGTGCTATAGACAGACTGCTTTAGAAAATAATATGATTTAAGGAGCGTAAATCTTGTTCAACAAACATTTGCCTTTGCAATTAAACTGTGCAACTGTAGCCTCACATTCACACAGGTATGGGCTCTAATAATAGCAAAAGCAGTTCAGTCATTTGTTAACAGTCAACAAGTCAATGTTTAACCCTCCTCTTCAGGGTCAAAAGGTTAGTAAGCTCTAAGATGCAATCTAGAGCCATTTTAGGGTACTCCAATAGCTTACAACTAGCAACACTTTTTGGTGGAGAAAGAAAAAATTCACGAAAAAAGAGGTCACAGGTCAAAGGTCAATTGGGCACAGGGCAAATTTTAGACATTTTCTGAGGACATGGTCGGACGGAGCGATTGAAAAACTTTTATGTTTCAGCGGTGACCTACCATTTTTATGGCTTTATTGAAAGGACCATGAAATGTACTTTCCGCTGACGTGCGAAGAGTAAGTGTCGGAATGATGCTATACACCGAGTATCACGAGGTTAGGTCGAGCCGTTTAGATTTGTGCCGCAATTCTGCATTTCCTCCCTATACCTTAAGTTAAGGAGGGAATGTTCCCCCTTCTTTTACACCTCTTGACCTTTGACCCCCCAGCTTCGACATCCTAACTCGTTTTCGGATTACCCCCCCCCCCCACGTCCCGAATATCGTGACCGTACGTCGAGCGGTTAAGATTTGTGCCCAACTGTTGACGGACGGACGGACAATCATGCTATTCTACAAGCTGCACATGACTACGTCAGATGAGCTAAAAAAACATGATTATTCATGTTTTTAATGTTTATGACCACGATTGATTGATTAAATGATTGATTAAGTGAATGAGTGATTGAGTGAATGAGTCAGTGAGTGTTCAATCTTACCAGGATGAACAGAGACAGGCAGTCGTAGACAGATGAGACACTATTATGTTACTCCTGATATTGTCAGCGTCGTCGACCCACAATTAACATTGCAACAAAACATTACAGGTAAGGATAACTTTTTATTAACGCAAAACAGTTAGAATGAAACGTACGTATACGGAAATGTATAGCGACGGGGAACGGAAGGAAGCGAGTGAGGAAGACAGACGGGGGGGGGGGAGAAACGGGAAGACGGCAGGTAGGTGGAAGGAAAGAAAATGGCTGGCGAGGGGATAGTAGAAACGAAGCTCGCAATAATTGGCACGGTGCCAACGAGGAAAGGGTAGTTATATAGATATCCAATAATACATAGTAATACTTATCTATGCATCTATGTATTATGCCATAGACGATGTCTACGGATGCCTCCCACGCATTGACGCAGCAGGCATGGTTGCAGGTAACACACGGCGATACTAATTAAGCAACGCAGCAACTGAATTAACGTTTTAATTAGCTGCTCAATTAGGACCTTTGCGGTACAGCTCAGGGACAGGCAGCTACAACATTGACAAGGCGTGGCCATGGCAAGATTACGAGCCGTGATCTAGACACGTTAACGCTCAAGAATAAATACGCGCGTTTGCTAACAACTACAACGAGCCGTAGGTTGGAAGAATTAATTAAGAGTGGTACTAGTTCAGCTAGCTAGCTAAAGTTCATCTACTCTATGCGACTAATAAATGCCACAAACTGCGCGCGTATTAGGCGTTACGAAACAATAATTGGGTAATTAAAATTAGATAAAATTGGACTTCTACGCGTGATCAATGTTCTTAACTACGTGACCAGCACCCACAATCGGTGAAGCCATGCAACGTCATGCATTTTTCCGCACGCCAAGCTTCTAGTTTAGACTTTATTGCAATTACAATACAGGATAATCGAACAACCGGGTTTGCGTTTATTTGCTGTATACGCGCATCTACGTTTATAACTAAATAGCAAACCAATGTTGGTAGGCTCTTTTTCCAAATAGCTGAGGTAACGGTTGATTAAATATTACATGACATGACGCATGGGTTTATAATTAATGCTAGCATACAAGTAATTCGGTGACCACAGAATCATAACAAACGCCTACATGTTTACATACACCTCAACACAACTTATCACAATCGTATGACTTCATATATCATATAATGGATCTTTATATTCAGGGTAACAGACTTTATATATAATTTATTTATGACATACAAAACAAGTATTGAAGGTATATATATAAAATTTCAGATACACATATGCTCGTACTTAAACCTATACATAACCATAATCATATACTAATAGACAAGCATGCCCGCACATAGACGCACGCACGCACTCACTCACGCACGCAGGCACGCAAGTCAATACACATAATGAATACTAGGCCATGCTAAGATATTGCACTTATTAGAGACAGTTTATAGAGCTTGCTTTCGCAACCTCGGAATTTTATAAGCAAATACACGATTGACAGTTTCTTCAGTTCATGGAAATAAATACTGACAGTGATGACGTTCACGATGTTTTGAACCGACGGCCAAACTGCTTCGAAATCGAATACACTCCGTCGTCCACCACAAAATCCTGTACACTAATTTACAGCATCCACTTTCTCTCGCACGTACAAATTTCATCACGATATCCCGTATTAACATAACTATTTATATGATCCAACGTCCTACACCGGTTATATTACTCTCTGGAACAACGAGAACTGGAGAAGGTTCCATGAGTTATAATTAACAGGCGATAATATTTAAAATTCTTACGTCTAAACGTGCGCCTGTAAATAGTTGTGTCCAAAAATCCAAACACCAGTTAGGTACTAAGTGAGAGATGCTTACAATGTAGTACGTAAGTATAATAATGAACATATGTATAGCATATCACTATGCCTTTGTTCATGATAGAATTACTGACAATGACTTATCAAACTACATCTTACAGTTAAATGCGCTATAGGTCTTAACAAAATTCGTAGTAATTTAATTTCGCACAGTTGAGTCCCTGCATCTACAGTATTTTGGCATCTTTTAATTGATTGACTACTTGACTCGAGTATAAAATTATGTGATAAAAACTATGCAGTTAGAGAATATCGACTTCATAATATAATAAAGAATGCATATAATACAATAACGACTATGATTATCCCCTGTAACATAAGGTAAGTCCATGACTCCTAATTTTCACCCAAGTTGCGATACTAGTCATCTCCGAGTCATCCCTCATCTAGAAAAAACGATTTTATCATCATGCAACAAAAACATGCTCTTGGAACTACTGGTGGAATGAATAGATTGGAACTGTACTGGATGGCATGACCACCCGCTAGCAATTACTACCTCCTATACGAAAAGACATTAAACTGGATGGTTTTAATGTTTCATGATCAGGTACTAGTTAGAATTAACATGAATCACAGAGATATAATTTGGTAGGCTTGACAGATGCAGCTAAAATATAGAGAAGCAGTCCACACATGGTGTGCAATTTAGAGATGCTATATCGGCACAACTGTTTCATATTAGACTAAATGATGACAATAATGCACGTCAGTGCAAGTATTGGCAGAGATAGGCATATATATACTCTTCATGAATACTCTGCATTTTTTATATAATGGCAGATACGGAATTAATCCCGTGTATCCAAGATAACATGCATTAAGAAACGGATTTCTTGATGATCTTTCTGATCGATTGCAATTTTAACGGCCTGTTTTCAGTCCATCCCAAGTGAAATGTACACATTTTAAAGTAAATGTTGTACTGTTTATGTGCCCATGTCCTATCCGACTGCATGCCACATACATATACCAAGCAACTACGGGAATGGCATAGATGTCATAACCTAGAGCTTTTCACATGAGATGGTCGTATAATGCTTTGCTCAGCCACTTTGTACTCTCTGCTAGCTTTTCGTTGATGCCTGTATGGATATCTGAAACAATTACGAAAGGATATTGTAAAAATTAACCTAAGAGCAGTTACATGGACGATGCCAATTCTAAAATGCTTGTGGCTGTACTCCACAAGAACTGATATATTAATTTATACATAAATCTGAACACAGAACAAAATTTTTTGGCACCAATTGCTATGGTTTCAGCAATATGGATACATCAGTCATTTGTTTCATAAATGGCTATGAAGAAGGTCTAGAACAGAGGTAAAGTTGCATAGACTTCAATGTATGCTTTTCTTGCCATTTTATGAATTTAATTTCATAAATTAAGAAATTAAGACTTAGAAGTCAATGCCTATGAGAGAAAACAACCGCACGATCAAATATATTGTAATATCCACGGGGATGTGCTTGCAGGAATATGCTGCTAAAAGTTGTTGCTAACATCACTGAAATTCGTGCCATTATTAGGTCTAAGGGCTTCACAGTTGTAACACTCTAAATGTAAAATGAAAGCATAATTGTGTATTCAGAAGTGAGAAACCATTTTCACACAAATCTATTGCCAAAATAATGGCAAACATTTACAGTATCCATATAATAAGCACACAAAATATGAACCTACCTCACTCAGTACAACCCAGTTCAGACTCTGCTTGTGAACGACCAAGCGCAGGGCTGAGATGCTTCCCAGGGTCACAGGTACTGTGCCATTTGCCAGCCCACGAACGAAGCTACCGACCCTGACAAATCCATCCTTGGTGATGCTGTTCTTTTCCTGAATCAGAGAGCAACTACGTCACACCCTACACCTGAAACCCCCCACGCATTTGTGGTTCATAGATGTGATAGATATGATAGCAATTTTGACTCTGTTAAGTAGGATATGATGAGAGTAAGAGATAACCAATCCATGCTTTGATATTGTACCTGCACTGCTGAACTATAGTGTGCTTAAAATTCAGAATATGTATTACCTGATTTGGTTTCAGTGATTCTATTTTGTTGAAAGGCAATACTTCAACACTGGTATCCAGAAAAATGTCCCCAGCATGTTCAGTATTGCCAGTCCTGAATATGTACCTTGGCGAGGACAAAATGATTAACACAACAGAATTGAATGTATCTGATAAATCTAACTCTGATTACAGTTCTGCTTTGTAATTATCATGTAGCACCAGAATGCAACCTATACCACACATTCTTCTACTGGTAATTAATATTAACATCGTTGCATTAATGGAAATTTTAACTGTGAAATATTGAACAATGGGCAGACGATACCAGCTTGTCTTATACGTACTTGTCAACCACAATGGAAGGTGTGAAGTCAAACCTCACGTAGTCACCGTCTCGTGGAAGATGAGCCCAGAAGTAGTCCTGCCCAGCATATGCCTTCTCCAGTGTGTGCTGCTTATACACCTTTAGAGACGTGGACACTTTCGCCGACGGATTTGTGTGAGGCCGGAACAATGGAACCTTACCAAAGTCCTTGTCCTGTGCAGCGAGGACAGGATTAAGGTGCAATAAGTAGCAGAAGCATTTTTTATCATTGATCACAATCAGTTTGTTATTTTATCACAATGAAGTCATGGGGTAGAATGGGAACACATTGCACGCCGATTAAACCCTATTAGCTGAGTGGAAATAGGTATAGAAAGATAACAGCGTTCATTTTGAACCTATAATTTTTCTGCTTTGGTAACTCTACCGAAGACAAGTACAGTGAGCATATCAGATAAAGTGGACGCTGAATCAAAAAGGTCATGATGACCTGTAGCTGCAAGTATTTAAATGTTAATGTTTGATTTGCTAACTTAAACAGCTGTTGTGATTATATTCACAATTCTTGATTAAATTCATAAAATTCATAAGATTGATTAAATTCAATGTTAATTTACTCTATAGTACACATGATATATGACTGTAAAAGTATGACTGCACCTTCAACTTTTGCACTTTTCCCTTTAGAGAGGAGTGTGTTCCCACGTGCTGAAACAGAGAAGGCTTATACCGGATTCTCTGCTTGGCTTTCATGCGCACACAGTGACCCTGAAAATGTAAATGTTCTGGTAATTCTCGCATATCATACGTATTGCATTTCTAAATAGAGTGACTTTAAGGGAAATGACGCTTAGAGAAGCCAGATTTCACTATATGAAAATAAAACCACTGAAATGGGATGCAAGATTTGAGATGTTTTTCCAAGAGCAAACTACACTTTTACTAAACTTTATAGTGAGGAAATGGGGGAATTTCAAAATGATCAATTTTCAAATATTAATAATTAGATTGACCATTCCAGAAGGGTGCAAAACTTACTATAGTTTAAAGGGATCCTTTACTCTAGGTTCTAGGGTTATTTTCAGTTAATTTACATTAAAATTACGCGACATAAAAAGTTTCATGGTTCAATCACCATTTAGAAATATTTAAAAAAATTGTTTGAAAACTAACGACTACAGTTTGATTACAACGACGGTGGCGCCACTCAAAGCGCACGATCTAAAAAGTTGCGCAAAACGACTTTTCAGCCAAGGGCTACAGACCGAGGGTGTTTCTTATTTATTAATTTAAACGCAAAAGCAGGGGTAGAAATGAACTTTTCAAGAAGGGAGTCCAACGGTCTGGTCTCTCTACCCTCAAACAGAGTGAGTCCGCAGCAAAATAAGGGAGTCTGCAGTCTGAAGTTCAAAACTAAAGATATTAACAAAAAGGACATTTGCGGTGCACATCTGCCAAATTTTCTTGAGACATTTGCTAAAAGAAATATGATAATTCCGCGAGGTCGTGTTTTGGAACAAACTAGTTAGTATAAAATTTTCAGGGAGTCACACGGACTCCTGCATATGTCAAACCAAGGAGTCCGACAGCAAATCAGGGAGTACTTGACTTCGAACTCGCGTTAATTTCGTACCCTAAAAAGGATTGTAATATCTTATAAACGACATATAGTTTCAGTTATATTATGGATAAATTTGTCCTAAAATGAACATCGTTCGATTAAATAGCATTTAGGTATAAATATAATTGCACCTTTGTGATTTGCCCTCGGTCTGTAACGTGCAAAATATATTGGGAAATGCGCAACTTTTTCAGGGTGGCAGCACGGTTGCGGGTGTCAATGGCGCCATTCAAATTTCGTAGTGTTGATGTATAATTAATTATAACAATTAAATTAGGTATCTGGTAACAAGTACATGTGGGTATAGATGATTTGTTATACAGTAAGCACAGTTGTATGCAGTAAAATCCTAGTCTAGTATTCCTTTAAAATTAATAGATTACAAAAGCTACTCGTTCGCACAACTATAATGTGTTGACTGTTTTTGTTAACTCACCATGTCCTTATCAGGTAGGCACAGGCGCACGTAGAGCAGATGGTCTAGAAGCCAGTCAACTGGTTTATCCATGTGAAACATCAGTAGGAATTCCGACAGCTGTCCCAAATCCTTTGTCTTGAACAACTTACCTAAAACATTGTATTTTCTATCACTCTTCAATTTAAAACAAGTGACATTACATGTTCAGCCTTCCGCAGTTTTCACGCATAGGCTATACCATCACACGCATGCATGATGCGTGATATGCCGCTGCGGTTGCTAATCAAGCTTCTGACCCATAGACGACTTCATAAAGGGTCAATGTCTGTGCCCTTTCACTAACCTCACCACGGAATGCTCAACACTATGACTGCATCTCGAGCCATCTTCGATTCTGGCTGACTGTTGTGGTGAAACAAATGTGTGTGGGCCATTTGTCTATGCCAGACAACCTTAAAACTGGTGTTGGATTCTGGAGAAATAAACAGCATCATATTGGTGTAAGCTGTGTCTTGCTGCACTTACCTATAAAACCAAGTTGAGAGAATTCCAACATGAACCACTCACTGGATGTCTGACTGACAATAAAATTCCTGATGGTCGACGTGAATTGAGGCTTCGCTACGATGTCGTCTTCAACCTGAAATCGATGTGTTTAGGTCATGTTACTTACCTCATACAGTAAGATAAGATAAGATTATTCAAGTCTTTACATGGGCGAGGAATCACCTAGTCAACCGACGCTCAGACCTGATAGCTAGTTTTTATTACCATCGATCTCTTTTAACTTATAAAATTTTACGTAAGCAGGCACCTGCCTATCTTGACGTTTTTTTTTACTTTTAAACATAAAGTGAGCTCCAGACGGACGCGTAGTGTGTGTGCAGATGAAGCGCGTTTGTATCCGCCCCGTGCACGCACTGAAATGCTAGGAAAATCTTTTTGGTGTGCGGCGGCATCTGAATGGAATAATTTACTTCCTGACGTTCGAGATGCCCCCACCATTTCTTCTTTTAAAGTCCGTCTAAAGAAAATCTTACCCTATCAATAGGGCCCATTGTGCTCTACTTACCCCGTAGAATTTTAGTCAAAGTATTTCAACCTATTGTGTATTTATTGAATATTTAACCGTTCTGTTGCTGTGAGACGGCCATGTGGAAGATAGGTCCGCGCCAATTTATTGTGTCTGTACCTAACATGTTTTACCGTCGTTAAATAAAGTTTTTACTTACTTACTTACTTACTAGTATGTTCTTCAACTCTCAATTTGCATCAGCAATTTTAAAGAGATACTACACCCTAAAATGTTAGGGTATATTATGATAGTAAGTGCATATCTAATAGTGTATATCTACAAATTTCTATAATCAAGGAACATTATTAAGGAATATTAAAGGTCATGTATCCCTTTAACATTATGTATGGATACCAGCTAATGCACTTCTATTAGGTATATCAAGTTTAGAATGCCACTCTTTGAATTAGGTGGGAAACAATGTAATAAATGCAAAAGAAAATTCTCTCATTTTAAGCACACCCTTGCATACACACTTATGTAATAGCATATGCCCAGAAGTAAACATTCACCAAATAATACAAGATCTACATGTATGAACACAACTCTGAGAAAATCACACAGTTAAAAGCACAGTCATACTGCACTGTGCTTCTGCATATGTTTAAGAGATTTTTGCAGATTTCAAATTAAATCTTGATTAAATTATTAATAATGAATCAGTACCTGTAGATAATATGTCCCCCTGCTCTGGGAGTACATCATGAGATAAGCAAAATCAAGATTTTGCTTTGTCCGCCATCTATGAAACAGAATGAATGGTTTGAATTCAGAATGGAGAAACTACTGCTCTATAGACAAAATATGCTAGTAACCAGTATACAATCGATGTACTATACATGACGACTGGCGAGGAGACAGCTCCTACAGGTCCTACCAAACCTTAAGCTCTTTTGAGTAAAACAATGCATTAAGATTCTATCAGTATGACTATGCATTGAGATGGCAGTCTTTGCTGAATTCACACCCATTGGCTGTTGCAGGAATATATCGGCTGTACCTACAATGTCAGAGAATGAGCTGACAACATTGCTGTAAGACTACATAGAAATTAAACTGAAATTCTGTATGCGGATACCCGATACTTAAAAGTGGCCAGTTCTCGCAGCAAAATGCATAGATATACCTACTGTAAGCTCGTCTATGTTGTAAAAATGCACTACGACTCATTTGAATTGCTACTCTCATAACATTTCTTCAGCAAATCTAAACAGTTTACGAAAGTAGTAGTACAGCGGTCCTTCGAATTTATGCTGTGCTATTGCGCCTGACGTGGTGTTTACACATCCGGGACACATTCGAGCGATCGCAATTTTTTATTAACAGTTCTTTTCTGTGATAAAACAAGTTATAATTTATTATTCGATGTTTGTTCAGTACAAAATTGTGAAATTTGTTTAAATCATGTTATCTACATTACGTATGCAATCAGCAAACAAATACACTGTTTCCTTTCCTGGAACTATTTGCGCTAGCGTAGGCCTACTGTTAGCATTCTCAGTCGCTTCGTTCCACACAATTCATGTGTATCTATACGCCAAAACACTCTCTGAGAAAGTTTTCAAAATGCAATACTTCAGAGCACATTTCTAGCTCAATGAGAACTTTTCTTTATGTTTTTATACTGCAAGTATGCTCCCAGTATGGCTGAGAGGGTCTATGTCCCCCAGGGTACTGCCGGAACGTACCCTGGTACTATCTAATATGCCAAACTGTACCTCGCCTACTCCACTAACGAGTCTAGGGAGTCGCCTACACCTACTCCCTAACCCTAACCCTAACCATATCAAATAGTTGCCAGGGTATGTTCCGGCAGTACCCTGGGAGACATAGACCCTATGAGCCCCAGTATGTGTATGAATTCATTTTGTTGCGAGAACTGGACACTTTAACTGGACACTTTAATCTTGTACTACCATATACGAATCTGACCACTATAATATGCATTAGAATAGTATCAGTGAGATTACTGCGAGTTTACGCAATCAGCTGCAAAAAAATGTCACCAAAGAACTAGTGTCAGGGGGCATAGGTGCTCATCGGAGGATTAGTACTATCTATGCTGTTGCTGCTGCTGCTGCTGCTGATGCAGAGGCTACCATGCCAAATGTCGCTGCTGTTGCTGCTGTTGCTGCTGTTGCTGCTGCTGCTGCTGCTGCTGCTGATGCAGAGGCTACCATACCAAATGTTGCTGCTGTTGCTGCTGATACTGCTGCTGCGCATGCTAGTGTTACTATTACTGATGTAGAATTCAATAGTGCATACCGAAACCTCTCCGATTGGTCACCGAGTGTTGGCTTTAAGGTAGCGAAATCTGGGTAGTAGTCAGGAGAGGGAGCGATGATATCTATCAAGCCATTGTCCACGAAAAGCTGAAACCTGAAAACCATGGATTGACCGTTTGCAAATTTCCCTGGCCATTATTCCCGCTTATTCTATAGTTTCTCCTTATTCGGCATTCGTATTTTGTAGCAAAACCGTGAACACGAGGGTTAAATTGTTGCATGCATTTCTTTTCAGATCTTTCATGATCACCACATGTAGATCCACACACATTTGTTAATTAAAGATTGGGAGATTAACCATGCATCATGCACATTTCCACTAATTGGCCATTTATATGCGCCAGTTGTTACACGTATATCTAACTATTTTCTACACACAGACCCATTTGGGCTTCAGTACAGTTGACGTCAATCTGTATGGACATGTGAGATTTTCCAAAGATTTGTTGGCATATGAATTTATCCGAAATGTTGCTTATTTCCGCACCAGCATACAGAAACATATATCAATGGAAATATATATGACAGCATAAGCTCTACTCACCTTGATGTGATTTCTTTAGCTTGAGCCTCTATATAGTCACGGGATGACTGCAAAGAAGCATGTAGTCACTCAACAATATTATAACTGTGATAAAACAAATGTTTAATTCATATGTGGCCCAACGTCTTATTTAGGCATATAATAGTCGTGTTGACATTACAGACAGAATGCGCGGGAAAGCCTGCGATTAAGATGCATGTGGGTTCCAGGGAGTCGGGCAGAGCGCTCAGAGACCAGAGAGTCATGCAGAGTAAAAAGAGAGAGCAGATGTGTGAAGGCAATCGGAAAAAGCGACGAGCGAGAGAGAGAGAGCAGATAGGAATATAGAAAGAGTGGGTTATAGTAGTGTATAGAGTGAACGAAATTCTTAAATTGTATGCAAACACGCAAGCGTTACAGTGTCTTGATATATACACGAGAGTAGTAACCAGGGAAGCGGATGGTGAAAAGCTACAACACCTATGTGAGTCACATACAATCATAATAGAGTACCTCCTAGCGACAGGGATGTTGAAGAAAACCCAGAACTAAAATCCCAAAATAAGTCATTCAAATACCTTGAAATATACTACAACAGTTCAGAAGCCCTAATTGGTTTTACAGTGCGTCCAAACATCAATTGTGATAAGTTACACGCAACAAATGAAGGAAACGTTTGCAACGTAAATACATTTACACAGAGTAGGCTTTTGGGGTAAAACATATTATTCAGTAAAGTTGCAATGAGGGATAATGAAGCAACCAGTGGGGGAGGGGCAGAAACGGCCAGCGGGAGGGGAGGGGCAGAAAAGGCCAGCCAACAGGGGAGGGGCAGAGAAGGTCAGCCGACAAGGGGAGGGGCAGAGAAGGTCAGCCGACAAGGGGAGGGGCAGAGAAGGCCAGCAGGAGGGAAGGAGCAGAGAAGGTCAGCCGACAAGGGGAGGGGCAGAGAAGGTCAGCCGACAAAAAAAAAAAAAAAAATTAAAAAATCAGAAAAAAAAAAAAATACAAAAAAAAAAGGGGGGACAGGCCGCAAGGGGGAAAGGAGGCAGAGAGGTCACCGACATAGCGGGAGGGGGCAAGAAGGCAGCCGACAGGAGAGGGCAGAGAAGGCCAGGACCGACAAGGGGAGGGGCAGAGAAGGCCAGCTGGGAGGGAAGGAGCAGAGAAGGCCAGCCGACAAGGGGAGGAGCAGAGAAGGCCAGCCGACAAGGGGAGGAGCAGAGAAGGCCAGCCGACAAGGGAAAAGGCAGAGAAGGCCAGCTGACAAGGGGAGGGGCAGTGAAGGCCAGCCGACGAGGGGAGGGGCAGAGAAGGCGAGCGGGAGGGGAGGGGCAGAAAAGACCAGCCGACAAGGGGAGGGGCAGAGAAGGCCAGCTGGGAGGGGAGGGACAGAGAAGGCCAGCTGGGAGGGAAGGAGCAGAGAAGGCCAGCCGACAAGGAGAGGGGCAGAGAAGGCCAGCCGACAAGGGGAAGGGAAGAGAAGGCCAGCGGGAGGGGAGGAGCAGACAAGGCCAGCTGGCAGAGGAAGGGCAGACAAGGTCAGTCACGCAGGTGAAAGAGCAGAAGTGAACACACACAATTCTATGAACCAACGTTGACTGCAGTCCGTTGAGCATTGATCATTATCATTCACATAAGTATTTGCAGTTGACGTAGTGTTTAGCACTGCAATTTTTTCTGTGAACTATTTAATGTCATTTGGCTAAATGGGATGAGAAAATGGCATTGTGCTTGTGAGAATAACATCGAGTTTTCAATCTGTGGGCTCAACACAATACAATACCAGCGGCGAGGTGGCCTTAGGACAACGTTATGGTTAAATTACATCAGTGGTGCCCAGGGGCGTAAATCCCGGGGGGATGGGGGGATGCATCCCCCCGCTCTTGAAGGGGGGGGGGATGGCCTGTACAAATATCCCCCCTGAGATGAAAAAAAAGAGAGAAAAAAGAAAGAAGGAAGAAGAAAAAAGAAAGAAATGTGATTGTTTCAATTTCAGCATAATACATGAGAAATTAGTTTTTTAAATGTATGTATAGCCTACAGTACAATTCAGTGTTAATCATGGCTATTGCATGGTATGCAAGACAGACTTTCAAGTGGGGCAAGGAGGAAGGAGTGACTGCCAGAGGCTCTCAAAAGTACAAGTGCTATGCGGGTGCAGTGGAATCTACACCCAATATATCAAGCTTCTTTGCAGCAGATAGAGAATTGTCTGACTTGACGCAGAAGTGAGATTTACGGATTATTTAATTGAACACAATGTGCCTTTGAGGGCGGCAGACCATGCAAATGAACTCTTCAAGAAAATGTTTCCAGACTCACAAATAGCCAAAAAGTATGGTTGCAAACATACAAAAACAGGTGAAATTGTGAGAAATTGCAATTCTTACCTGTGTTTTAATACATGTATTATTACTATATATAGTAGCCTAACTGTGTACGCTCTCTGAAAAGTAATGAAAAGTGTTTTGAATCCTAACTTGTAGGGTTGAGTCTAGGGTTGAGATAGTGTCATCAGACATGAGAATATGGCCCACAGTATGCCTCAGATTGCAGGGAAATGGCTTAAATATTTCAAAATTTTATTCAATTCCCCAGACCCCCCTAGCACTGGCATGCCTACGGCACGTGCCAAACGTATGGTTGTCAAATTTGGCATGTACGTGCATGTATGTATGCATGTATAAATGTATGTACGTGTGTTTGTGTTTGTGTGTGTTTGTTGTTTGTTCGTTTGTGTGTGTATGTGTGTGTGTGTGTGTGTGTGTGTGTGTGTGTGTGTTTTTGTGTGTGCGCTCTCGCGCGTGTGTGTGTATTTTTGTGTGGTTTTGTTCTTTTTCTTGTGTGTTGTGTCTCTCGGCTCTTCTCCCCCCCCACTCCTCGGTACGGATTTATGCCCCTGGTGGTGCCTAATGACATTTTCCTGCAAATAGTTCAACAGTATCAAAAGCACCAGACAGATGAAATTCCTCAAATGTGAAACAAGTGCCGCCGTGCGACAGGGCTCATCTGATGTCTGGTGTTCTGCTGACAAATGCATTTGTGCATAGCAAGATGTATTTTAGTCTGAGAGGTGTTGACAGATGTGCTGAAACATGGGAAGGGACGTGAATGGTAGCATGAAGGTTGTACAATTAGGGGTCGAATAGACATTTGCTATACCAGAGGCGTGCGAGGCCGATTGTTAGCATATTTGGTGATGGAAGTGTGTCGAGAGATTGCGCGTGTACAATTAAGAGTGAAGACCATTAGGCAGACCTTGGCCCATTCTGTACGTACATCTAACTTTATGTAAAGGTGGTTGCATTTGCCGGCCGGGACTACTAAGGAAACAACATTATTTGAACAGAATGGATCGACTACTTTTGTATTTTTGTATTGCCGAAGAATGCCGTTTTCTTAGTACACAACGTCCTATAGAGTAGTTCTTCCTGGGTAAGGAATACCCAAGTGTGACTTTGCATGAATACTAGACAGGGCTACGAATCGATTTGTTTGTGTGGAGGACGTGCCGATGGATTTTCATTGGTAGGTTTGACGATTCATTTCTGCAATTACTTATCTCAAGATTGGTTAAACTGAAGTTAAGAAAGTAATTCTTTCTGCACCCATAAGCATATAATGTTTTTAGACCTGTTTAGTGGATAATTATAAGCAATTAATGTTGAATGAAAGTGTCAATGACACTGTAGCTCACCACAAAAAATGACACAAATGAGTGAGTGAGAAGAAGTCAGTTTTAATTGAGCAACCATCGACGTACATTATAGAAACAAAGAGTATATATGGGAGAACTCCCATTATATACTCTTGATAATTATTGTCCAATATACTGTAATTACTAAGAAATTGTCTAATTGAAATCGTAAATCTGGTTAATCTGGCGCCCACGCTAATTGGTTTGCCAAGCAAAAATAGCCTCGAATTCGTTAGGCAAACGTCACATGTTTGCTACGGGTTTTAGGCAGAGAATTTGTTTGTCCCGGGATGCTTATAATACCGACTTAATTGGAGCTAAGTAAGAATGTATCTCTGGGTGTATTTCTTCGGTATTGAGGCACAGTAAATAATCGTGGGTGGCTAATGAACGGGTTACCTCGCACATGGTTTCTTCAATTTCAGCACAGGTGATTCTTTTGACCAATATACGTAAATACGCCGTAAGTGCGCCGTCTGCCTTTCCACGGTTTAGTCTGTGGCCGTGGTTTAGTCCGCGCGATCCTCCAATAGCGTTTGGCCCCAAACGGCCTACTTCATTTATCACGAGCGTCCCGTGATTTCGTACGGTGGGATTCCTCCCAACGTCTCATTACAATAGCAGCTTACTGTTACGCCTCCCTACATGTTACGGCTACTGGATTTGCCACTAGGTTTGTACCTGCTCCTGTAGCAGTTTGCCGTTACGGCCGAGCGAAAATGCCCGAAAATGTTCTACATGCTGTGAAACTGTGCCGCCAAGTCCCAGTGGAAAATCGGCGAAATTCGAGAATATGTGTTGTTTACAGTTTCCTCCCGGGGATATGAGGGGCCAGCCTAATAAATCTTGGTACTCACTCGATAGGTAGGGGCTATTCGAGCAAAACCCGGTGTTCGGTAAGTAATGTGCGAGTTTTCGACAAGACTTTTATAGTAAAACAAAGTCAGTCCCAAGCTGATTTTCCGGTGTGGACTGCGGAGATTTCCCAATTATGACAGGTTCTTAAGTTTAACAGGCAGTGTATTCGGACAAACAAATACGCGTTTTTTTGGCTATAAGGGTAATGTATCTTGTATTAGACTACCCGGTCTTCTTCGTCTCTCTCCCGTTACACAAGGTTTGTCCAGTGGTCTACACTCTAGTCCATTCGTTAAAATTCATAAGTCGAATGGGCGCCTTTATTACTGCCCTTGTAACAAGAGACTTAATTGGACAACCCTGGGTGTCTGGTGATGGGTAACTTGTGTGATGTTTCGGTTGGGGGCACAAAGACTATTGGAACAGGTATTCACAGTTGGAAATTCTGGCCATGTCAATCAACCTTACTGTGAAACCAAGCGTTTACGCGGCTCCCCCTTAAATCATACT